TTTTTTTTTTTTCTTTTCTTTTCCTGATTTCCTATTTAAGCCTTTACAAAAGACATCTTGTTTAACATTATCTGCTCCTTTGGAAGTCAGGCTGCCCTCGAAAGCCTATCATATCAAAGCTTGCTATTGATTTAAACAATGTTTTTACTGGAAAAAGTTTAGGAAACTGGAAGTTTTGTAAAAAATTTTGTATCTGCACTGACAGGAGAATCTGTTGGACAAATAATGACTGTTTGCAGGGAAAAGGAGAAACTTCTTTTGAATCTTTCACAGTGAAGAAAATCCTGTAGATACAAAAACCGCTAAAAAGAAATAAAAACTGCAGTTGAGGAACAGACAATAAACATTTCAGATTGCTTTATGGTGCACTATTACAGGCAACTATGTTGCTTAAGTAGGCATAACATTTTTCACAGTATATATTTAAGGATTTTTTACGGGGTAGATTAACAGCAGGGATACATAGCTCTTAAAGGGAGGGCAGAAATAATTTCTGCCACTCCAGTGGCCTGATAGGTCACAAAAAAATCTTTTAAAAAAGCAAGAAAAATGCACTGCATGGTCAAGCAGGAGCAGCCTCCAGCCTACCCTGATGCTCATGGGCTGCACACAGAGCAGGAGTGACCCCTGGGACCAGTTCTGGCCCTGGAGGCTCTGGAGAGGTTTCCCAGAGTGTTGCTGGCACACCTGTGGAAGATGCAGCTCTGCAAACTGGCCAGAGCAGCACTGGGAAGAGGTTCCAGCTGTGAGGCATCGCCCCTCTCCCAGCACCAGCACTCCTGGAGCATCCACGAGCCCACTGGCACCAGCCCCTGGCTCCTGCTGTCAGTCAGCCTGTCCTCCTCACCACAGCCCACATGTCAGACCCTCTGGGCCACCACAGCCCCTGGTGGACCTCAGCTGTGCTCCAGAGTGGCTCTCAAGGACAGGGAGCCATGCAGTGCCATCCCCTTGCAGGCTGCCAACCCTGCGAGACTGAACAATGGAACAAAGAATAATGGGGAAAGAGCAGCATTGTGTTGGATTCCCCTTGGCTTCATTAAAATTAGTGATGGCCTTCAGTTCTGGGTGCTCCAGAGCTCTCCTGGCTGTGCACAAAGCAGAGATCAGAGGGGCAGCATCTGGCCTGGCAGAGGTTCTCAGCGCTTCTCCCCTGCCCCTGACTCCGTGGGCTGATGGGGAGGGTTTGCCAGTTCACAGAACCCCAGAAAGGCATGGAAAGGACCTTAAAGTCCATTTCCTTCCACCCCTTTCCATGGGCAGGGACACCTTCCACCATCCCAGGCTGCTCCAAGCCCTGTCCAGCCTGGCCTTAGGCTCTTCCAGGGATCCAGGGGCAGCCTCAGCTTCTCTGGCCACCCTGTGCCAGGGCCTGCCCACACTCCCAGCCAGGAATTCTTTTCTAACATCTGATCTAACCCTGCCCTCTGTCAGTTTAAAACCATTCCCATTTGTCCTATCGCTCCATGCCCGTGTGAAAAGTGGCTCTCCAAATATTTAGCTAATTTTTTAACAGTCCAAAGGAAATGAGAAAAAACTGATTTTTATTATCCCCCATGGAGTAACAACTTGCTCTGTTCCCCAGTTTACTTTTACCTCCTTGGAAACACACACTATTTACTCCAGATGCTCCCACCAGTGGCTGGGTCCTCATGGGACCTTCTTCACCTTCCCTGGAATATGCAGAGTTTCCACAGAGGCAGAGGAGCTGATCTTTTTGTAAATTATGTGCACTGAACTAAGCAATTTTACAGTTCATTCTCCCAGGTAGCCAGGAACCACTGTATGTCTATCTACTTAATTTGACAATTAATCTTTGGAAGGCTGGTAGTCATTTTAGATTAGCTTTTTTTATCTTAAAAAATCAGTAAGCAACTTCCTTCTGGTTAATTTTTCTTTTTATTTTTTAGTTTTTCTACATATTTCCAGTGGTCATCTTGTCTACTAAATTTGTTTATCCTTTTCCATGCATCACTTTGGGAATCAGAAGTGGGGGGAGGAGGGAGACATGCTAAGGAATTGGAAAACATCTTACATTTTTTAAGTAGGTGAGATTAAGTGTTTGCGCCATAGTTTACAATTATAATAAAATAAATCTAGAAACTATTTCATGTATGAGAGCATGTGCATTAGAAAACATATTTTTGTAACAGATAACCATCTTCTGAACACTAGAATGTTGGTAATTTGTCAGTTTTTCTTTTAATTAAAACTGTGTATATAGTTCATGCTCTGTTTGATTCAGTGTCAACATTTTGGATGGGGGCTAAAACTGATTTCCTCTTAAATCTTTGCATTTCTCAGGACAACTGATGAAGTGTGCCTCAACATTAAGCTCATGAGCCCATGAGGTTTTGCCTGTTTCAAGATCAGTAAATCAAGAGACATTAGAGCAACAGCCCTGATAACACCCAAGACTTCCAACACTTCTGTAAATGCTCTCTTTACCAAAACTGCATCAATTTTTCCTGTCAGACAACCTGTTTTAATTCATTGCATCATAACCAAGCTGGTCCACTGTAAAATGAATTAAAACTATGCTAGTTAGGAATTCAATTCTGAATATGTTTCTCATTGCAACCCATGAAATGTTTAAATGTTTTGTTTTTTTTTTTCTTAACAACAGAAAAATTTGCCTGGTGTTTCTCTAAATAATTTTTTAAAATATATGGGTTTTTTTAATTTTCAGTTTTCCTTTTTGAAAATATGAAAACGTGCATGGTCTGGGTTTGAATGGACCTTAAAAATCATCCAGTTCCACACCCTGCCATGGGCAAGGACACCTCCCACTGTCCCAGGCTGCTCCAACCTGGCCTGGGACACTTCCAGGGATCCACAGCTTCTCTGGGCACCTTGTGCCAGGGCCTCACCACCCTTATTGGGAATTATTTTTTCAGGATATCCAACCTAAATTTCTCCTCTTTCAGTTTGAACCCAGCACTCCTTGTCCTGTCACTACATTCCTGATGAAAAGTCCCAGATCTGGGTGAGTTTGGAGACCAGCCCTCCTGGCTGTCACACACAGAGTGAAAATAACCACCACATTTCTTAAAAATACACCATCTCACCACATTTAGCTCCAAGCCCCAGTTCCTTCCACCTTGCCTATTTTAATAAATACTCGTGGCACTCAATAAAATTAAAACATCAGTGAGCAAAAGAGATCCATATGAATTTTCCCCCAGGGATTAGCAATGGAGAGGAAGAACATCTGGCACAGGAGAGTCGTTGCTAACTGTGCTCACTGATAGGTGAGTACAGTGATAATCTCATTTATCTGCAATGTACCTGAATGCTTCTTGGATCAAAACCTGGGAAAGGCAAAGGAAAAGACTGAAAAGTGAGAAAGCCTACTCAAAAAAGATGGCAACTTCCAGGTGTAGTCACGATGTCAGTGAGGTGCTGGATTCCCTGGGAATTACCTCAAGACAAACACGGTGAGAATTACTTTGGAGAGGATGTGAGGAAAAGCACACCATGAGAAAGAGGAGCAGATGCATCTTTCAAGCTCAGTATTCCTCATGCCTCTAACTTCACATGCCCTTTTACTAATTTTCTACACTGATAATCTATAGAACCTAATTACACAAAGTCTAAGAAAGCTCCTTCCACGAAAGGCATAATGCTGATATCTGAGTCACGAGCACAGTTAATGTAATCTAACACATATTGCGGGAACCTACTGCACACAGATATTACCAATTAGCACATGATTTTAACAATCAACATTCATGCAATTAATAGAACACTTCATATTCCTTCTAATTTTGAGCTCTGCATGAGCATATGTTATCATGACGGAATGTGGGATCATTTATTTATACTGGAAGCAAGGCACCACACAGAAATCAGAGATGCTGAAAGTTAGCCTGAAAGTGAAATAGGCTCAGCTTTGCATTGAGAAAAGAATATTATTAGTCTGACTTCTAAAAGTTGAACCTTTGCCTTACCTTCTTGTTGAACCTTGCTGCTGGTGAACTTCTGGAGAGGAAACTGTATCCTGATTACACCTGGGGAATACAACAATGTGTTCTTCAGCAAGCACTTCTCTCTAAAATTGAAAACTATGACATAATCGTCACTCAAAAAAAAGTAAATAAATATGTCTTGCTTAGATATTTATAAATATATATATATTAAAAGATAACAATAGACACCTTGTTTTCCACAATTATGTATTATTTTTCTTTACTGTGAACAGGAAAGAATCATTCTACTTATAGGACAGGTGAGGCATACAGAGATTAAACCCAGATCCCCACAGTGCTTAGCCACTCACTTACTTTGAATTCCAGCCACTCACTTACTTTGAATTCCATAGGATTTAGGAATTTAATACCTTTAGGAACCAATGCTGTCTATTTTTCTGGCAGCAGAGGAAGCAGAGAACCAAACATCTGTTCCCCAGTGATGTTGCCAGCCTACCTTACCTGTCTCTCCCCTCCTCCTTGGTGCTGACATCACTAAGAAGCAATGACACTAATTACTGAAGTCCTAGCTTGTCACTGGCTCATTAAGGAGATGAGATTCTCAGTAAAGAAGGGGTTTTTGCATGAAGGCTGCAAAGACTGACACGGCACTGCTGCAGTGGCTGGAGCTGCTGCATTCCCTGTCTGGCTCTGGGAAGGAGAACACCAAAATTCGGGGACTTTGCTCCAGAACATCTTCACATCCTCAGCTGCCTGGTTACAGAGATGTCCCTGATGTGTTTCCTGCCACTGAAGACATTCCAGGAGACCTCCCCAGCCAAGCACACCCTTCTGGAGCTCCTCCTGGCAGCTTGGGCACACACCTGTACCAAACCAGCATCCCACCATGCCGACCTTCAGTTCAGGAAGATGTCTCCTCTGATCCCTGTCACCAGGGAGTCCCTTTCCACCTGCAGTGGAAGGTGGTGGCTGTCCCCTCGTTACCTTTCCAGTGGGTTAGGAGCAGCATTAGATCCCCTTGGGCTTCTGCTTTGGGAAGAGCCCTAAGCCCAGCACGGGGAGGCTTTTGGTGCAGGCACCAAAGCAGCTTAGACTGCAGATGTAGACTCCAAATCATTGTCTTTCCCTCTTTTGGGACAAGCTCCTGGGAGAATTTGGTTTACCAAACATCTGATGTGTATTTATCAACAGGAGAAAAGCAGCCACTCTCTGGGTATAACTGTATTTTTAAAAAATGCCAGGGGAGTATTTATGTCTCCCATTACTGCCTCCCGCCATGGAGGGAGCCTTCACAGAATCACTTTTTGGACTGTTTCAAACAAGAGCAGATTAAAGCAATCTACAAGTTGATAAAGAAAAGAGAGATTTCACCTGTGAAAACACCTCTCATATTTATCTCAAGGGCTCTCTGACCCAGTAATGGTAAAAATGTTGGTGAACCCCCTCTGAAAGTCAGTGTCTGGCTGTGCAATATCCACACTTGGAAACAAGGATGCAGTTCAGTCGCTCCAGATTTCCATGATGATCAGGGCAGATGTACAGCTACAGACAAATGAGGGGGGGAAAAAGGAAAGTCTCAAACTCAGTTTGTCCGAGGTAACTTCAGTGAAGGTAATAGAGCAACATCAGTGTTACTGACAGGGAGGTAAACAGAGCCTAATGGTTTTTACACTGAGTAAATGCATTAACAATGTCCTTCCTGCCAAAAAGAAATCAAAAGATACTTTTCTCCACCAATATCTTCAGTAAACTTCCATTTTTCTTAACCACTATTTTTATTGAAGGCTTTACTGCACAAAAAATCCAGGGGGAACACGAAATCACATAATGGGGCAGGTTGGGGAATTCTCTAAAAATACGTAACCATGGCACCCTTGTCATTACCAATCAAGTGTTCTTGATAAAAAGTAAAGTAATTAGCCTTTGAGAGGAGCATAAAGCTAATTAAAAATGACAACTTAGTCATCTCAACAAACAACAGCACAGAACCAGTCCAGAGTTCTAACTATAGCACAATGTGATAACCTGACCTGCCACAACCACTTGCCTTCAACCCCTTAAAAGAAAACACAGTTTGTGAGAGGGAAACTTTGGTAACCACTTCCTTTGTTGTAAAATCTAGATTCATCTCATCTACCATCCAATATTTCTCTTTGTTCTCAGAGTTTCTAAGACAGTTTTGCCCAACTATCAGACATTTTTCCAAGTGAAATGATGGAAATTTGTGTAGTCTCCTAAAAGGAGATGACAAAATGTGAAGCACGAGCATATGCATTGTCAAAAAAATTCACAAGCTGCGAATGAGTTGAGTCTCATAACAAAGTTGCTTGCTCAGAATTTAAAAATAATAACCAGAAACAAAAAGAAACCACTGGTCTCTCACTTACAGAGCAACTGGGGTTCTGTCCTCTCACAGGTGGTAATAACAAGGTTTTAGTTCAGTTCTTTGGAGCAAGAATGAGTATTTCTTCATTTCTTGTCCTACAAAAACCCTTGAGGAGGACACATTATCAGAAAATTATTACAATTACCACAATTTTTTCTCAGCAGGTGTATTTACTCACATTGCAGGTACTGAGTTGCTGTATTTTCATGGAATCATAGAATGACTTGGGTTGGAAGGAATCATGAAGATCATCCAATTCCACCCCTGCCATGGTCAGGGACACCTCCCACTGTCCCAGGCTGCTCCAAGCCCTGTCCAACCTGGTCTTGGATGCTTCCAGGGATCCAGGAGCAGCCACAGCTTCTCAGGGCCTCTCCACCCTCACAGGAAGGATTTTTCCCAATCTCCCATCCATCCCTGCCTTCTGGCAGTGGGAGCCATTCCCTGAGTCCTGTCCCTCCATCCCCTGTCCCAAGTCCCTCTCCAGCTCTTCTGGAGCCCCTTCAGGCACTATTTTTAAATCTTCCCTTTTCAAACCACCAGATTCAACTAAATATTTCCTAACATAAACACACATATATATTATATATGTATAATTAAATACATTTACTGCAGCCAGCAACCTGTGGCACTACATTCCTTAGAGCTGAGAGCTCATTCTCATTAAGGATTAGAGCTCTGGAATCACAAAATCATTGAGTTCAAATCCAACATTACCCTAACAATGCTGAAGTGCCCTAACTTAAAGTGTGTGCATACAACAGTCTCCACAAAGTTTTGGCACAGCTCCTAAGCCCATACTCACAAAATTAGATTTAAAAATGATAAACCAGTGAAGCGCCAAGCCCAAACACTGGCTCCTCAACAGGTCCTGCTGAGCAATGCTGATACTTCATCATGCTGACAGACTTTCCTCAAGCACACAGGAAATACAGATTTGATCCTCAAAACAAGGATTGACTGGAATAGGAAAGGAGGTAGAAGAGATTATGGTTATGTTTTGAGTATCTCACACTAATCTTTCAGTATAGTTTCAGTTCCTGCTTGCTGGGAAGGTCAGAACAGTGACTTAGAGAAGGCCTGAGGCTGCTGAGATGCAACACATCCGAAGCACCCCATGAAACAGAGTGATTGCAATGCAATGCAAGCAGTGAAAACTTAAGCTCCTTTGACTTGCAGCATATATGAATATATGAGAGGGTAAAATACATACAGATGTGTATCTAGACCAAATAAGAAGGCCTTGTAGAGACAGGGAAATATGTATCTTGTGCTGCACTGCTTGCAGTCCTAGGAAAGCTTGAAGCAGAAATAAAATGTTTGCTTTTACTCTGAATAAACGCGGGATGAAAAGAAATTCTGAGCAGCCATGAACTAGATAAAGACTTTGATCCTGCTTGGTAAGACCCAGCTCAGGAAGGCCAGCTCTGGCTTAGGAAGGAGAGTCTCCCTAAGCCTCCTCCGCAGCCGGTGCAGAGCGGGATCATCCATCCCCAGCTGGAGCAAGGAGCCACTGCTCCCTTCCAGCCCATGGAAACAGACCAACACATACAGCCTGAACATCTTAGGCTGGGATCCCAAATCTACAGATCTGCACCTCTTCAGAATTATTCACACGCCAAGCGTAACAACGTTGGACAGCCCTTCCTGAGCCCTGCTTTACGAGCTTTTCATTGAAAACCTTCTCGGGCTGAAATGTTTCCTCCAGCTCAATTCTGTATCATGAATTCAGTGCAATTCTGAGCTATTCCAGTTTGCTTTTTCAATTCTTTAAAGTGTTTTCTCAAAGATATTTGTAAAGGCTTGTGTCTAAAAACGTTTTAAAGGCCCTAAAGGAAATGCAGTTTCTTTTCATACGCCTACAGGACAAGCAGGTGTTCTGGTCTCAGACTCTTAGATGTTATAGGACATAAGGGAAGATAAGAGAAGTGCTGCTTTTCTCTTCCTTTTCTTCTTTCCCCAAGCAAAAATTAAAGTTTTACAGGGATGAGGTAGTAATCTACCACACCTGCAAGGAGCAGACATCTACTTGATCTTTTGACACGCCATTTCCTTGTGTAGGGTGGTGGAGATGAAAATGAGGTATTTTTCTTGTTAGGAAAGCAGAAAAGAGTGAAATCACTTACTCTTGTACCTCTCCTTAGACCTATAGGCTCTAAACTTAATTCCAAGTTTAACCTGGAGAAAGAAATGGAAAAACTACTCTGTAAGGAACAGGACTGTGCTGGCAGCAGAGGGGATTCAGTGATCTAATAGTTCTTTTTCCAGCTCTGATTTCTTTGATACTATTTATAAAAATTGAAGAAAACTGATGGACCACTCCAAACAAATTGTTACCATAAACCAACAGCAATCAACAGAATTGGCCCATTAAGAGTTGTGTGGAGAGAGGGAGAGGACTAATAACGTACCTTTCCTGGTCCTGGGCTATGTTTATCTCCCATATTTATTTAAAAGCAAATCAAAATACTTTTAAACAAATCAGCTGGTTCCAAATTTAGGAACAATTGAACAAAGAGGAATCTGCTAATTCCAGATGGAGTGCATATAGTCCCTTGGCACTTATTACTTACCAAATGTTTCAGAAAGCAAACACATGACCTAAAAGATTTCGTGAGTGTGGGGTCCTCAAAAAGCTTTTAACAAGTCATGTATTTCCAGCCATATTTACTTTACCCACACACAAAACCCCTAC